TCTCACCTCTTCACCTAAAATATATTTTTGTCTGATTTACGCTCATTACGATGAAGAAGTCATGACAAACATATACGATGAAATCATGACAAAACATTTACACTCATTACGATGAAGAAGTTTCGACAAAACATGTACGTTCATGTTTGACAAAGCATATACGATGAAGTTTTGACAAAGCATATACGTTCATGTTTGACAAAGCATATACGTTCATTACGATGAAGAAGTCATGACAAAACATGTACGAAGAAGTCATGACAAAACATGTACGAAGAAGTCATGACAAAACATATACGATGAAGTTTCGACAAATCATTTTACGTTCATGTTTGACAAAGCATATACGTTCATTACGATGAAGAAGTCATGACAAAACATATACGAAGAAGTCTTGACAAAACATTTACGTTCATGTTTGACAAAGCATATAGATGAAATCATGACAAAACATTTACGCTCATTACGATGAAGAAGTCATGAAAATTCAATGAGGTGAGAAAAGAGGTGAGATCTCACCTCTTCACCTAAACATTATTTTTGGGTCATTTACACTCATTACGATGAAGAAGTCTTGACAAAGCATATACGAAGAAGTCATGACAAAACATATACGAAGAAATCATGAAAATTCAATGAGGTGAGAAAAGAGGTGAGAAAAGAGGTGAGATCTCACCTCTTCACCTAAAATATATTTTTGTCTGATTTACGCTCATTACGATGAAGAAGTCATGACAAAACATATACGAAGAAGAAGTCATGACAAAACATATACGTTCATGTTTGACAAAGCATATACGTTCATGTTTGACAAAGCATATACGATGAAATCATGACAAAACATTTACGTTCATTACGATGAAGTCATGACAAAGCATATACGATAAAATATATTTCCTGGACTGTTGTCAAAATGTCATGTTGTCAGTAATTTTAAGAGAAGTTAATTAACCTGGTGACATGGTGACGTAGTGACACCTAAAAACCATCTACCCTAAACATTATTTTTGCTGAATTCAGCAACAAAATGAACGAGGTCAGGATGTATGCAAATACCTTTGAATTCATTCATAACGCCTTAGTAAGATCATAAAATGCTTGTTTTTACATTCTCTACTGTATCTTCGAGTTCTTCTTCATCTAACTTCTCATGAACTTTCTTGTCTATGGAGTCCATAATATCTTTGACATAAAATGCATACTTTACAGAGCACCATTCAGCAACAAAATGAACGAAGTCAGGATGTATGTAAATACCTTTGAATTCATTTATAACACCCTTAGTAAGCTCATAAAATGCTTGTTTTGAGGTTGAGCCACTTTTGGCTCGACCGTATTCTTTCAACCAAAACTCAAGAATTTTCCTGTGTGAATTTTGTATAAAAAGCAACCGTCTGAATTCAGGCGGTTGTTATATTCTTCACAAAACATTTACGATGAAGTCATGACAAAACATATACGATGAAGTCATGACAAAGCATATACGATGAAACCTTGACAAAACATATACGTTCATTACGAAGAAGTCATGACAAAACATATACGATGAAGAAGTCATGACAAAACATATACGAAGAAGTCATGACAAAACATATACGATGAAGTCATGACAAAACATTTACGATGAAATCATGACAAAACATATACGAAGAAGTCATGACAAAGCATATACGTTCATGTTTGACAAAACATATACGATGAAATCATGACAAAACATTTACGATGAAGAAGTCTTGACAAAGCATATACGATGAAGTTTTGACAAATCATTTACGTTTAAGTTCCATGAGGTCATAACAAAGCATTTATTATGAAGTTTTGACAAAACATATACGATGAAGTTTTGACAAAGCATTTACGTTTAGTTTCGATGCAGTTAGTGTCTATGTTATACAGTAATGTTAGTCATGAATGTTTGTCCTAAGTGTTGGTGTTAGTGTTGAAAAATAATGTTTGTCCTACATGAACCCGTACAAGCGTTTGAATTTGTTTATGAATAAAATTACACTCTTGTTTTCTGTATCTATCATACAAACATAAGCAGTACCTGTTTTTGTAAAGTTTATATGAAGTTTTCGATAGTTAAGACCTGTATAATAATAGAATGCGTCCTCATTCTCAACATAGTAGTAGAACTCAAACGAATGCTTACCATAATCTGTTATTTCAACAGCTTCGTCAGATATTTCATCAACGAACTCATAAACTATATCGCCATACTTGCTTTTATTTCTATTGTTTTCAGATCTAGAACACCAACGAAGGTTTGAGATTCTGTTGTCCGTTCTATCATGATTTATATGGTCTATTTCTTTCAAATTGTTTGTATTTTCAATCCACTGTTCTGCAATAATTCTATGCTTTAAGTACATTTTGTTGTTTAAACTAAGCACAATATAACCATAATTATTTAAGTATTCACTCATAATATGTTTGTCTTTCTTTCGACGAATAGTAAAAGGATATGTCGTACAAATCTCATAATCTTCATGATTTCTCAATGTTTCCCATTGAGTTTGTTCCCCACTAACGTTCTCATTGACGTCCTCAATATCTTCTTCCTCACTGAACTCGTCAATATTTTCACTAGCTCCTTCTGTAATGTTTTCATCGGCATTGTCATTGACTTCTTCTGTAATGTTAGATGTTGTTGTTTCGCTCATGTTCTTTCACTAATGTTAAAAAGTTATGTTGTACGAATTTTGAACAGAATTTAGAGCAGTTATGAAACAATGAAGTATTTTTACGCTATTGAAAGGAACTATGAGAGTGAAGTACATGACAGCAATGACAAAAGGAACTAATATCAAACCTAATGAAATCGCTCACGAGGACATAGAGCTTAACAAGTACTTTGTGGAGTATCTTATAAGTGAAGAGTATGTAAGACCTTACTTCATGTTTGACAGCATGAATGAGGATGTTATTTCATGGTTAAAGAATATAAGCAATGTTTTCGGTAAGTACGTCATAGATGACAAAGGTCTTGTTGTATTTTATGAGACAGCAATACGAACACAGGAACTAATGGATATTATGCATTCAACAGCAAAGAAAGGATTTAGTACTATTGGCATGAATGAACATTGCAGGAATGACATATACAACCTATGCTCACGAAAGCCTTACACAAAAGCAATACAAATGATAGAACATAAGTGTCTAAGTCAGCAAATGAAATCATTACTGTCAGTGGTTATGAAAGAACTGTTAGCAAAGATGAGTGGAAACAGCTATTCATATTAAGGAAGGACGTTGCTGAACTAGTTAAACCTGTTGCACAAACATTGTTTCAGATAAGACCAGCAATGACTAAGAACCCTTTGACCTTAGTCAATGAGACCATAGAGATTGAAGATAATGACATGAAAGAACTAGGAATGAATGAGAGAAGTTGTGAAGGATGTTTGAGTCAAAACACATGGTTCTTCAGAGCTGTTAAGAAACTTAGTAAAGAACGACAGAAATATTTTATAGAGAAGTATTGCAAAGGATGTGTAAATGAATTGCTTGAAATAGAACTTAGAGACACTTTCACACTAAAGGACTTGAGGAAAAATAAGTACATGAGTGAGGACGGTATTGACATAGCTAGTGTTATAAATGACTTAAGAAGATGTGTTGTTGTTATTGACGGAGCACGTATGACATATCTAGTGAAAGATTATGATGGAATACGAGACACAACAACACTTGTGTCAGTAGATAGCAAGGAATTCAATAAGCTCATGAAGAGTGTTTATGTAGGACGTATTGAGGAGAAGGATGTGAACGCACTGATGATTTATGAAGCGGGTCAGAACAAGAACTATCTTATGAAGTCAGGCATGAGATTCTTTGACGAAAGAGATGACATTTACAGCTATTTCAGAGGATATGAGTATGAGGTACTGAATGAAGTAGATGAAACGTTATTGAAGGATATTTGAAACATGTTCACGATGTCATATGTAATGAGGATGAAGAGCTTTATGAGTATGTTTTGAACTGGTTCGCCTACATCGTTCAAAATCCTTGTGGAAAGACTGGAACAGTACTTTTGTTAATAGGAAAGCAAGGAACTGGTAAGAATGTACTTAGTAATGTTCTATGCGAGCTCATTAGCAAGTACGCCAACAATAATATAACGGCAATAGAGAATGTGGTTGGTAGATTCAATGCTGCTATTGAGAACATGAAGCTCATCGTATGCAATGAACTAAGCTCATGCGATACGTCTAAGGTCATGAACCACGACGCACTAAAGTCAATAGTAACAGAGACTCAGTTGGACTTAAATCAGAAGTGTCAGCCAGTAAGAAAGATAGAGAATGTTTGTAATATCATCATGATATCTAACAACTTCAACTCAGTAAAGATTGACAAAGACGACAGAAGATTTGTTGTCATTGACGTAAGCAGCAGATACAAAGGAAATTACGAATATTTCTCAAATCTCATTGAAAGCTTTAATGAAGAGTTTTATTCAAACTTACTGACGTACTTCATGAAGAAAGATTTAAGTGAATTTGATGTAAGGAAGATACCATTCACCAGGGCTAAACAAGAACTCATCGAAATGAACAAAACACCTTACCAAATGTTTTACGAGGAGTTCTATGAAAAGTTTGTATCCGGATGGAATTGTACAGAGTGCTACAGAAGATATAAAGAATTTGCGAAGGAGAATGAATTCTTTGCATGTAGTTCAAATGTATTTGGTGGCAAGATGAGAGAATTTGTGAAGAGAAGTAGAAAGCGAGACGGTTCTGCAAGAAGTTATATTTACGAAGCAAGTATGATATTAGAAGGTCGTGGAAAGAAAGAAACAGTGAATTATGAGGAAGTGCTTGAAAAATTCATGGAGTACATGGGAAGCAATATAACATACAACAAAGACATATACAGTGAGTTTAAGTACTACTGTGAACAGCATGAGATTGAAGTAATGAGTAAAGGAGACTTTGAAACGCTTATGAAAGACAGTAGGAGGTCGTTCATGAGAACAGTGTTGAAATAGTTCATGAGAACAGTGAGGAGGTCATACATGAAACAATGATGAAATAGTTCATGAGAACAGTGAGGAGGTCATACATGAGAACAGTGATGAAATAGTTCATGAGAACAGTGAGGAGGTCATACATGAGAACAGTGATGAAATAGTTCATGAGAACAGTGAGGAGGTCATTCATGAGAACAGTGTTGAAATAGTTCATGAGAACAGTGAGGAGGTCGTTCATGAATGCAGTGATGAAATAGTTCACGATGTCGTTCGTGAAGAAGCCATTGCAACAAAGAATGATATAAAGGATTTCATAGAACTTAACAAGGAGGAGTTTAAAGAAGGCTATGAAGTGAAAAGATGTGAAGAAGATTTCTTGGCGTATTTGAAGAAAAAGAGACTAAAGCCAATGGCTCAAAATAAGTTTCAATCGATGTTTGAAAAGAAACGTTTGAGCTATGGTGGTGTAAGAAGCACATATTACTTTGTTAAGAAGTGAGGACATTTATTTTTGTCGTTAGTGTTGGAGTTTGTGTTTGTTGTTAGTGTTTGTCATTTGTGCTGAAGTTAGTACTTGATGTTAGTGTTGGAGTTTGTGTTTGTTGTTACTTTGTCATTTGTGCTGAAGTTAGTACTTGATGTTAGTGTTGGAGTTTGGTTGTTGTTAGTGAGAGTAAAATTAGAATCATGAACTTTGCCATGGTCCTGTCCCTAGTAGTTTTTCATTAAGTTCTGGAAATAATGAAAGTCATAAACTTTGCCATGGTCTCTGTCCCTAGTAGTTTTCATTATCTCACAGAGTTAATGAAGTCATACTTTCTATCAGATGAAGCATGCAGATGAACATAATGAAGTTAGTGAGTTTGCCACGAGTTATGAATAAAATATTGGCATATTAGAATAAGATAACTGATGAAACAGAGAAGATAAATTAAATCTTGGACTTTGCACACTCTGTCCCTAGTTCCTCAAAATCCTTGACAACGTTGCTTAGAAAATTTTGGTTCAAAACCATCTGATTTTTAATCTGTTATGCTACCTGTTAAGTTTCGCGAGATTATAAATGTCATGGAGTTATATAAAAAGGAGGGACAGCTAGGGACACTGGAAGTACTTGTAAGGCTATCTGTTTAAGATTGCATGAAATACTAAAAAGTCATGAAATCCATTATCGCTGTGCTAGCTTCACCTTAGAGTAAAATGACGACTAAAGTCACTGAAGCAATGAAACAAAAGTTTTTGGTAGAATACATTAAATCAGGAATTATTCCAGAAGGTTTTTACATTCATACTATGAAAGATGGTAGAGTTCAGTTTAGAAAGATAAAGCAACCATTAGATAAAGAAGGAATTTTGAGAAAGATTAAACTTCATGAGGACAACATTGCTGAACTTAAGAAGAAGTTAGAAGAGTTGGAGAAAGGAAGAGAGTTATAAAGTAATGAATTCAACGGGTGAAAAAAGAGGTGAAAAAAGAGGTGAGATTTCACCACTTCACCTAAATTTATTTTTGTGCTATGTTTTCATACGTGTGAGGGTGGTGATATCATTTATTTTTAAGTTTATTTTTAAGTTTACTGAAAAATTTTATTTGGATGTAAATGACAGAACAAAAGCAACTCATTCGAATTCCACAGTATAACAAACATACATTTAAACATTTATTCTTCCTTCCTGAGCATAACATGTTCTTTCAAATACATCCGAGACCAGTTGACTTTTCATTGACTGTGTATAAAGATAGAAATAGTTATATCATTAAACCATACGATGACGAAGGTAAGTTATGTAAATTGTACGTTAAGAAGTTAGAGAAAGTTTATGGCTTCAAGTATGACTACAATAGGGTTAACACTGATGATGAAGATATTGAGGAAAATTTATGAGAACATTAGTGAAGTCGTTAGTGAGAACGATAGTGAGAACGTTTATTTTTTACATTAGTGAGTTCGTTAGTGAAGTGGTTGGCGGCTTTGTAAAATATTTAAGGTTAAGTTAGTGTTGTCGTTTGTGTTGTAAAATATACGTTAACGGTTTTGTAAAGTGTCAAATTCACATATAATGGGTAAGGAGGCGCGCAGTGCCACAGTACCCAAGATATGTTTACTAACTTATTGAGGAAAATTTATGAGAACATTAGTGAAGTCGTTAGTGAGAAGATAGTGAGAACGTTTATTTTTTACATTAGTGAGTTCGTTAGTGAAGTGGTTGGCGGCTTTGTAAATATTTAAGGTTAAGTTAGTGTTGTCGTTTGTGTTGTAAAATATACGTTAACGTTTTGTAAAGTGTCAAATTCACATATAATGGGTAAGGAGGCGCGCAGTGCCACAGTACCCAAGATATGTTTACTAACTTATTGAGGAAAATTTATGAGAACATTAGTGAAGTCGTTAGTGAGAACGATAGTGAGAACGTTTATTTTTTACATTAGTGAGTTCGTTAGTGAAGTGGTTGGCGGCTTTGTAAATATTTAAGGTTAAGTTAGTGTTGTCGTTTGTGTTGTAAAATATACGTTAACGGTTTTGTAAAGTGTCAAATTCACATATAATGGGTAAGGAGGCGCGCAGTGCCACAGTACCCAAGATATGTTTACTAACTTATTGAGGAAAATTTATGAGAACATTAGTGAAGTCGTTAGTGAGAACGATAGTGAGAACGTTTTTTTTACATTAGTGAGTTCGTTAGTGAAGTGGTTGGCGGCTTTGTAAATATTTAAGGTTAAGTTAGTGTTGTCGTTTGTGTTGTAAAATATACGTTAACGGTTTTGTAAAGTGTCAAATTCACATATAATGGGTAAGGAGGCGCGCAGTGCCACAGTACCAAGATATGTTTACTAACTTATTGAGGAAAATTTATGAGAACATTAGTGAAGTCGTTAGTGAGAACGATAGTGAGAACGTTTATTTTTACATTAGTGAGTTCGTTAGTGAAGTGGTTGGCGGCTTTGTAAATATTTAAGGTTAAGTTAGTGTTGTCGTTTGTGTTGTAAAATATACGTTAACGGTTTTGTAAAGTGTCAAATTCACATATAATGGGTAAGGAGGCGCGCAGTGCCACAGTACCCAAGATATGTTTACTAACTTATTGAGAAAATTTATGAGAACATTAGTGAAGTCGTTAGTGAGAACGATAGTGAGAACGTTATTTTTACATTAGTGAGTTCGTTAGTGAAGTGGTTGGCGGCTTTGTAAATATTTAAGGTTAAGTTAGTGTTGTCGTTTGTGTTGTAAAATATACGTTAACGGTTTTGTAAAGTGTCAAATTCACATATAATGGGTAAGGAGGCGCGCAGTGCCACAGTACCCAAGATATGTTTACTAACTTATTGAGGAAAATTTATGAGAACATTAGTGAAGTCGTTAGTGAGAACGATAGTGAGAACGTTTATTTTTTACATTAGTGAGTTCGTTAGTGAAGTGGTTGGCGGCTTTGTAAATATTTAAGGTTAAGTTAGTGTTGTCGTTTGTGTTGTAAAATATACGTTAACGGTTTTGTAAAGTGTCAAATTCACATATAATGGGTAAGGAGGCGCGCAGTGCCACAGTACCCAAGATATGTTTACTAACTTCCAATGAATATAAAAATAACCTTTAATTCAACCAAAATAAAAAAATAATATAATAAATTAGTCATCTTCCGACAAAGGTCTTTCCAAATCATCTTCATCAAATTTTGGTAAAGCCTGACTTAAATTTCTCACTCTGTTTAATCTCTTTTCGCATTTTTCAGCAATAATTTCAGGTTTGTTCTTCTGTATTTCCTTTTTTGGACGTATGATCCAACTATCGTCATCATCGCTATCAACATTATTCTTTTTGGGCATAGCAGGTGTTGTGCATGAAAAATAGCGTGACTTCACTTTTGACAAAAAGTGATACTATTTCTGATGGTTTTGTCATTTATTTGTCAGATTTATAAATGGATAATAATGCTGTAAATCCGATATTAATTAAAAATATTTAAGATTTATGTTCGAATTGAAAAGCAAAATGATATTTTTTTTAATTGAAAAACGTTAATATCTGATATTTTGAAGTTTTTAATATTTGTTAGTATCTTAAATTATTGAATGCATACGTTTTTTATGTTCTCAATTTTAAAAAAATTGTGAAGAATTTATTTTTTTGGAGATGTATGTTTAATATTTGTGAGTGAGAATGCAAGCAGGAGTTTGGTACTTTAAGGCTAGGTTGGGATAGATTTCCCATTATATTATCTGTGAAATATTGTTTGAAAATTCAAGATATAAAAATATATTATCAAAAAAATTTATATTTTTAAATACAATAGGGTGGAAAATAGTACGATGAGATAGCAATGATATTTTATAATGGGAGGTAATCTGAAGATAAGTAGCAAATTTTATGCGATTTTGATTGGGAGTTGGAGGGTGTGAGTACTATAGCATGTAATAGTATCTCACACCCTCCAATTCTTCCTATGCGCGAAAAATTTTTGGTGAAATGCGACGACATTTCACCAAAAATTTTCGGCCATATAGAGAACTATAGTCTGCGAGGTACTGATTCTATCTATGTACCTCGCAGACCATAGTTCTCAGCCAAAAATGGCTAATAATATGAGAGTCTATATGATAATGTAAAAGTTAAAACATTCAAGTATTTAAGTATTTCTTTAAAATATTAAGTTTTTTATTTTTCCAATAAAATTCTAATATCAAATATTTTTATTTAACGATTAATTTTATTTATATTTTTATAGTTTTTTTTTAAGAAAAAATATTGTTAGGGTTTTATGGATTTTCAATTAATATACAAGATAATTCATGAATGTATATTTACAAGTTTTTAAGGATGCAACACTTTACATTTGTAAACTGTCAAAAATGAAGTCACGCTATTTTTCATGCATTACAGCAGGGTTGGAAATTTCTTTGAAATTTTGAACTTCTTCAACTTCTTTGTAAACGTCGCTTTCAGACGATATAGGTTCCTCGTCATTGTCTGATTCAGATTTGTCTGTAGTACTTTTCTCGTTTGGAGCATTTGAAATTTTTTTATTTTCAAAAGTCTCGGATTCTGAACTTATTGGTGTCTCAAAAGATCCATCTGATAATTCTGGAATAGGATATGGACTCTTTTTACCTTTAGCCTTTACCTCGAAATCATCATCAGAATCATCTGAGAGAGGTTCATCTGTAACTTCTGAATTTGAACTGCTGTGGTCTGAATTTGAATGAGCCTTCTCAATTTTGCTTGTTTTGCGAGTAATTTTCGA